CTGCCTCCTATTGACTGCTATGCATAATCGTGTCCCATTGACTTCTATGCAAAGACTCCTCTCTTTGACTTAAGTATAAAAACACCTCCCATTGACTTCAGTCCAAAATTGCCTCTCGTTTGACTTCAGTCCAAAATTGCCTCTCGTTTGACTTCAGTCCAAAATTGCCTCTCGTTTGACTTCAGTCCAAAATTGCCTCTCGTTTGACTTCAGTCCAAAATTGCCTCTCGTTTGACTTCAGTCCAAAATTGCCTCTCGTTTGACTTCAGTCCAAAATTGCCTCTCGTTTGACTTCAGTCCAAAATTGCCTCTCGTTTGACTTCAGTCCAAAATTGCCTCTCGTTTGACTTCAGTCCAAAATTGCCTCCCCGTTGACTTCAGTCCAAAATTGCCTCTCGTTTGACTTCAGTCCAAAATTGCCTCCCTGTTGACTTCAGTGCAAAACCGCCTCCCGTTGACTTCAGTGCAAAACCGCCTCCCGTTGACTTCAATGCAAAACCACCTCCCGTTGACTTCAGTGCAAAACCGCCTCCCGTTGACTTCAATCCAAAAACTCCTGTCAATAGCACCCCTACATGAACACTTATCTACACAAACCACTCTATGCTATCACTTTTGAGTCTGGAACGCACTGCTACAAACTCGCACAGGACCCTTTTCATAATGGCACTCAAAAAACAATGCCTGTGGATTGCATCTGTGTGAACCACTTCAACAGACATTAAATATCTAGCTTGTCTTGCGTATCTGTGAGTTTGAAAACGTATCCAGAATCGCATGTGTGAACCAGGGCAGCTCGATTCACACCTGGGCACTTTTGGATCGCGTCAGGATTGCTGTGAAAACAGAAGTTCAGGTGCCATTATATTCAAAGCCCCCTAAAAAAATGTGCAGTTTTGCTTCAACTGTTGCATGGCAAATTGCATCGTGTGAAGCTTGTCCCGAAAATGAGAGAATAGTTCTACTACCGGACCTCCTTTGTGACTTTAAACTGGTGACCTGTAAAGGCTTTTAAAGGCGTTGCCTATGGATACTTTAAAATACTGTAGTATCTATTTACTCAGTGTAATATCATCTTTTATATTTTACCAAAACAATTGGTATTATATTGTGTTTACTAAAATTCATTAACCACTTGACCTCCGAAAGATTTACCTCCCATCCTGACCAGACCATTTTTTGCGATACAGCACTACATTATTTTAACTGACAATTGCGCGGTCATGCAATGCAGTTCATTAATGAAATATGTCATTTTTTTTCCCCACAAATAGAGCTTTCTTTTGGTGGCATTTAATCACCTCTGGGTTTTTATTTTTTGCACTATAAACCAAAAAAAGACCAAAAATTTACAAAAACATTATTTTTTACTTTCTGCATAAAACATATCCAATAAAACATTTAAAAAATCAAGTTGCTTCATAAACTTAGGCCAATATGTATTCTGCCACATATTTTTGGTAAAGAAAAATCACAATAACTGTATATTGATTGGTTTGAGTAAAAGTTGTAGTGTCTACAAACTATATGTATACTGGAATTTTTATTTTATTTTTTTATACTAGTAATGGCGATGATCAGCAACTTACAGAGGGACTGCGATATTGTGACGGACAGTCGGACGCTAACTAGCACTTTGTAGGAACCAGTGAAACTAAAACAGTGGTCAGTGCTAAAAATATGCACTGACACTGTACTAATGACACTGGCTGGGAAGGGGTTAAACATCTAGGGTGATCAAGGGGTTAACTGTGTGCTTAGCTGTGTGTCATGTTTACTGTGTGAGGTGTTTTCACTAGGTAATGTGCTGGATTTTATTCCATGCTTGCAGGGAAAGAGAATCCAGCACATTGCCGTTGACAGGACACAGCTCTGCCTTGTTTACATAGACATAGCTGTGTTTTGTCAGTTTCCTGGACGTTCGGCGGGTGCCGGCAATCATACATTTGCCGGCACCCACTGATCGTCTTTTTCTGTGACCAATCACAGCAGAAGCAGCGCACACGCGCACTTGTGACCAGAAAGTACACAATCACGTTTATGTACGTGATTCTGCTCAGCGTGGCCGCCCTGTAGCAGTATATCTGCTATGGGGCGGTCATCAAATGGTTAAAGTGTATATCTTCAGAAAAACCACTGTGCAATACCCTGCGACATAAAAAATTGCAACACCGATACATTTATTCTCTAAGGCTTTTGTTTAAAAAATGTATGGGGATTCTAAGTAATTTTCTAACAAAAAAAAAAAAAAAAATAGTTTTTAAAGATAGTTTTTACATGTAAGAGAGGAATGTCAGTAGGCAAGTGGTTAAAATGTTACTAAAGGCAAAATTTTTTTAAATTAAAATGATAAACATGTTATACGAAAACAATAAAAGTGAGCGCTCTTATGGGTAAGCAGCTAGACACTCAAGGAAACCAAATAAAGCCTTGTGGAAAACGCATAAAAAAAATGTGCAGCGCTAATCAGTAAATTAAGGTGCAAAATTATTCCAAATGACTAAAAAGACAATGAAGCAGTCACAAAATGATTCTAAAATAATGTAAACAAATGTTCCGTATTGCAACCAAAAAACTTATTGATAGTCTATATATAGTGTTCCCCTTTAAAATCCGCAGTGATGTTCCAAGCAATGTAGAGAGATTGTGCACTCACCAGATGCACAATGTAAATGTGCATTAAGAAAGAGGAGGCTTCTGTGGATTTTTCTTAATGCACATTTACATTGTGGTGGCTTCATTGTCTTTTTAGTCATTTGGAATAATTTTGCACCTTAATTTACTGATTAGCGCTGCACGTTTTTTTTATGCAATAAACATGTTATATATGCACTGGTATTGCACAGAGTGGCCCCAATCCTCCTTTTCTTGGGTCTCCCACTGGTGATCTGGCTCCTCCTCTTTTTTGTGTGTCCCCATAGCAAGCCGTTTGCTATGGGGACAAATGCTGCGTGCTCACTCTCGACCTGTGTGTCTACGGAGCCGTGCTCCATAGATACACACAGTGGGACTTACCCCACACCCTATTGATTGACAACAGCAAGAGCCAATGGTTCCTGCTGCTGCTAGAGTCCCTGTGTTAAGAGAAAGCGAGGGGAGAAGAGATGCTGTGCACAGCGCTAATCTATTCTGCCCTCTCGTTCCGCGGAGTTGTCCTTCCTCTCCTCTCTCCCCATAGTCTTGTGGGACAGGTCCCGCAAGACAACGGGGCCATTCACAAAGTGCAGCGCTTCTCGCACATGCTCAGTGGGCACCCGGCTGTGAAGCCGCAAGCTGTCACAGCCGGGTGCCCACACTGAAGATGCCGGCGTGAGGGAGAGAAGATGGCGGATGGAAGCAGGACACCGCAGGATGGAGGAGCGGCTTCTTCACAGCAAAGCCGAGCAGCCGACCCGGTATTCTAACACGGCGGTGTCTGCGATGGGAGTACCGGCCGGCCACTCCATATTCACTCTATAAGATGCACAGACATTTTCCTCCATTGCTTACAGCTTCAATGACCAACATTTATTCTCCCATGAATGTGTGTTTTAAAAGAATCAAACTGTCTGGTCCCTGCAAGATTATGGCCAATATACTCGCTTTTCTTGCGACCTATGTGTCGTCCTTCTCCTTCATTCCAGCACTGCAACACCTGTAATTGTCTTCAGCATTCAACACTTCTGGGAGTGTTAGATGCCTGTGTCCCCGGTCGGTTGCTGTGGCTTATTGCTTTGTGGTCTGAGGATAGGGACATGGTGCTGGCTGCACAGGCAATGGAGAGGTGGTATCAAGCACTGGCTACCAGAGAAACAAGTATAATGACTGTTCACATATGTTTTAGATGTTTACACTTGTGATGGCTGTGATTGGTTAACAATGATCACAAGGTAAAGAGTCGATGACAGATCAATGCATGCTGCTACTTGCCACCAGTCTTCCATGTTGAATGATGCCTAGCATTATGCAGTGCACATTGTGTGAGCCAACACTGTCATAAACATGCCCCCTGGGGGCTCTTCATCATGCTGGCATGGGCTCACAGTACTCCTGCACAGTGTAGTACATGTACTCGTGCCATCCAATAATAAAGACCGCCTACCACTTCTGCCAGGGGAAAAAGAGGAAGCACCCATGGCATCGATGGAATACCCAGAACACTGCAGGAAAAAAGATGGCAAGAATAAAGGGGAGATCAGAGGTTGGAGGAAAAGTGGAGTTTGGCTTTAAATATGAAGCATCTGCTTCTGAGCTAGATCCTGATTGGCTGTTAGGAATCGGCTGAAGAATTAAAAATGTGATCACCTTATAAATATGCAGAGATGAAGCACTACAAGAATTATTTCATCAACCAAACTGTAAAAAGGCATGGAGGAGCTCAGCTATGAGGAAAGATTAGAGGAACTGAATTTATTCTTTCTTGAGAAGAGGAGATCGAGGGAGGATATGATTAACATGTATAAATACATCAGTGGTTCATATAGTGAACTCGGTGTAGAGCTATTCACCCTGAGGTCATCACAGAGGACAAGGGGGCACTCTCTTTACGTCTGGAGGAAGACATTGAATCTCCAAACACGGAAAGGTTTCTTCACAGTAAGAGCTCTGAAAATGTGGAATAGACTCCCTCAAGAGTTGGTTCTGGCCAGCTCAGTGGATTGCTTTAAAAAAGTCCTGGATTCTTTCTTAGATACACAGAATATAACTGGATATAACATTTATAGGTAAAGTTGATCCAGGGAATATCCGATTGCCTCTCGGGGGATCAGGAAGGAATTTTTTCCCAGCAGGAGCAAATTGGATCATGCTTTGCTGGGTGTTTTTGCCTTCCTCTAGATCAACTGTGGGTATAGGATATAACTTTTTTTAAATGGTTGAACTGGATGGACTTATGTGTTTTTTCAGCCAGACTAACTATGTAACAATGGGGGGGTTGGGGGTCGGCTTTCACTTTTTGAATTACACATTTTAAAAAAATGACATTCTTACAAAAATAAATAATGTGTGTTTATTTCTCCAGAATGCCGAGATTAAAGACAACAAGAGTGAAGAGAAAGAAGACAAAAGTGCTTCGCCAGGGGTTTGCTGCAAAAAGAAAGAAAACATATTTGCAGGTTATAAAATTTTATATTTAAGTGTGTGTATGTGTGTGTATATGTGTGTGTGTGTGTGTGTGTGTGTATATATATATATATGTATATATATATGTGTATATATATATATATTCCAACTCCTTGCACTCATGAGCTGTTGTTATGGTTGCTATTGATTTCTGTGCATATAATTTACCACACATAATAAAAGCTTTCTTTCTCTTCACTTCTCCTTTAGATCTACTTATTTATTTCAGGCACTTGTGTAAAGTGCTGTGTAAATTGACAACACTATATATGTATTACACATTCACATCAATCACTGCCCTCAAGGAGCTTACAATTCAAAGTCCCTAACTTACATTCATACATGTACTGTACATACTAGGGCCAATTTAGACAGGATCCAATTAACCTACCAGCATGTCTTTGGAGTGTGGGAGGAAACCCACGCAGACACAGCGGAATATGCAAACTCCATGCAGGTAGGGCTGAGGTTGGGATTCAAACTATGACCTTAGTGCTGTTGGGCAGAAGTGCTAACCACTTAGCAGCTGTGTTACCCTACTATCAACCTTTTGTAGGAAGGGGCTTCCTAAGAAGACACAAATTAATTGGATAGCATAGGTTGGTTCTTTATATTAATTAGCTTTGGTAAATATAAAGAAGATTATACCATGATTGTATAGTCAGGTTGTAAAGTGTATGGCAAACTTTCCTGCTATGTATCATGGATGGGTATTGATTTGTGGATATTGGTGGATTAATGTCAGGTTGCATCCTGTTACTCAGGAACAGATTTATTTTTTCTTTTCAGACTTTCCAATTTTATTACCACCTATAGCTACACCTCATAAGATAAAGAAACCTACTGATAAAAATGTTGATCTCATCGCCTACATTTTTTTAAATTTACCATAGTCATTTTGGTTGGGAGACTTTAATAATTAAGTGGAGCTCCAGGAAAAACATTTGGAAAAGACAGCAGAAGGTAAGTGTAAAGCGTTAAGGTGGCAATACACACACAGTACTGTTCTTTTGGTATCAACTGAAAATATAAACGGAAACTATGATTTGTCAGTAAAAAATGAAAACAATCTATTAAAGTTGATCATTTAATTGATCTTAAATATATGTTCTCCAACACACAGAGATCTTTGATCAAAAGTGATTGCAACAAAATTTGTCCACAGCCAATTGTTTTGACAAAATTAAAATTGATCAAAGCTTACTAAATTGATGAACCAGAGAGTCCTTGGTTTGCAATTTTTATTCAGTTTAGTCTCTGCTTTCTCTGGTCTCACCTCCTATCAGCATGTTTTGTGATTGTCTTGCATCTATTTGGCTCCCAGTACTGCTCCCCGCAGTCCTAGACTGAGGGATGTTGTACAGGTATTGCAAGATGCTGAATTCATATCAGATTCAGGTACCTAGACTAGTTGTAGAAAACCATTACATTTATTGATATATTCTTTAATACATAGCTGTATGAATGTTTTATTTTGTATATGTTTTTGACTTTAATTACATTAATTATTTTTTGACATTTTGTTTCCATGTTGTCTGTCCCAGGTATAGCTCTCTGAAAACTATACCTGGAGTACAGCAGTACTGGTAGCCTAATGCTTCCGGTCTGTGTGATTTCTACTTCTTGGCCCTGCAATTTTATAATTTAGTTGCTTCAATGGAAATCTAAGAGGCTGCAATTTGCAAGTGCTGTTGGGCTCCCTGCACAGTTTATGGAGAGTCATAACTCAAAAAGGACTACACCTATGTAAGCGTAATTAACACCTTTTACCTATGCCCTGCTGTCCTTTCCAGTTCTAATTCCTAGAGCTCCAAATATTTAGAGGCTAGAAAGCCGAGATTGTCTCTCATTACATTGGCAGCAAGAGGCAGAGGGAAACAGATTTTTAAATGAGATATTGGGTAATACTGATTTGTTCATTACTCATTGCCATATTACCCAGTTTGGAACAATTCTGCTTGCGTGCCCTTAATTCCCTCCACAGTAATTATAATTATTATAATTATTAACTGCATTATAGCATGGGTGGAGAATTTGCATACATTTCTGGAAATGTGAGTGCGCACAAGTGTAGCGGCAGACATTTGACTACAGACATTGACATTTGCCATAATGTGGAAAAGCTTGTCTCATGAGGTCATCTATCTTTTATTAGCTGTGGACAGGAAGGGACTGCACTTTGCTTTCCTCTTGTACTGTGGTTCTATAGGAAATATGTAATTTGTCCGTCCTCAGACATATCTGATAATATGTGTGTGCACAAGCATGGTGGCAATCATTTGATGACAAACATTGATAAAAGTGCCATAATGTGGTACAGCTCAATTTGTAGAAATATTGCATGTTATACAATTACTCTTGGTGATTTTTAGCCCCCTACAGATTTTGAAGACGTGGCTGTGTATTTCTCAGAGGAAGAATGGCGATATCTAGAAGCCGACCAAATTGACCTCTATCGTCAAGTAATGCTAGAAAATTACCAAACAATCCACTCTCTGGGTAGGTTGAATGATTTCATCTGTAATAGCCACATACTTACTCCAAAGAGAGAAATAAACTTTTGTCTAAGCAGTTACAAGTATTTATTAGCTTTTGAAAAAATTGTTAATGGTCAATTTACTGCTTTTTGTACTATTTTCCCCTCTTTCCCAAAAATGGCAGCAGCTTGGGTTACAAGCATGGCACATCCACAAATGAGTTTCCTGTTGTTTGTTTTTCTGTTAGCAGTCAAAGGGCTATAGCGGATTTCCATGTTTCTTTAAAGTAGAACTACATTCACCTTGGCTCCAGCGATGCAACATCCTGGAGCTCCCTGCCAGGCACTGACATCTTCAAGCAGCAAGCTTCCAGGTATCAAACGCCAGCCACTTTCATTAGCTGAGTGGAGATGACGTCACTCGCGCACATGTGCAGGAGTTCCATCTGCTTAGGCATTGCAAAACCTCTACAGTGAACTGCGCGTGTGGGCGCAGGTAGGTAATTTTATTGCAGAACAGGCCAACCATGTCTCTCCTGCATTAAAAATCCTTCCTGTTTGCCACTTTTTATTTATTGCCTAATGTTCCACTTTTAATAGTTTGGACTGGTCCAAATGGACTGTTTCCTTCTCTAAACAGTGGCTGTGTATGCTGTATAAACTTTATAGTATGTAGCTTCACCTACATACAGTATACATTGTTGTGTTCTGCCAGCAGGTAGAACATCCTGTCCTGCTCCAGGAGCAAAATCGAGCCAGGCTGAGCTCTACTCGGCAGCACAGTGGCTAAATGGTTAGCACTTCCACCTGGCAGTACTAGGGTTGTTGGTTCGAATCTCAGCCACGGCACTTCGTTCCTGGAGTTTGCATGTTCTCCCTGTGCCTGTGTGGGTTTCCCCTGGGTACTCCGGTATCCTCCCACACTCCAAAGACATGCTGGTAGGTTAATTGGATCCTGTCTAAATTGGCCTTTGTATATGAATGTGAGTTAGGGACTCATGTGAATGTACAATATATATGTAAAGCGCTGCGTAAATTGATGGCGCTATAGAAGTACCTGAAACGAATAAAAATAAAATAAATTAATACTCAGCCTTTCAGAGGAAGTTTTTGTATTCTGGGAATGAATACAAAGCTTTCTCTGATTGGTTGAGGCAGATTTTGTAACATCATCAGTCCACCTCAGCCACTCTTTGTTTGCCAGGCTTTGTATTCATTCATGAAATACAAAGTTCCTCAGAATGTGTGAGTAGCACTCTGCCCAACTCGATTTTGCCCTGGGAGTGGGACTGGAAGTTCAGGTCCTGCTGCTGGAACACTGCGCTGTATGTTTATTTACCAGAGGCAACTTACAGTTTATACAGCATATCCACTGTAACTGTTTAGTGATGGAAATAGTTTGTTTGGGCCAGCTTGGTACTTTCATCAAAGTAGTTCAGTGTCACCATAGTAACAGGTTCTCAGGTCCAGGGACCCTTGGACCTTTACAGTGGACACACTGGTGACTCGGTGAGATCAGTTCAGCCTGATCTATGCCTTTCTGCCACTCCAGCTTCTTCCTCGCGTACTACCCAGGATCAAGCTGGAAGGTACTGCAGTAACCCTTATAGCACCGAATTGGCCCAGAAGGATGTGGTATTCAAACCTACTCAATCCCATGGCAGACACTCAGATTCAGTCATCCCTACCCCCCCAAATCTAGGAATTTGATTTCTCAAAATATATACTATCGCACCTGAAGACCTATTTTGCTTGATGCATGGAGAGCAACTCAGTCACTGGCTTTGACAGCATGTCTGTTGAGGCAACGATCTTGAGGGACTGGGACCTGTCAGGTTCAGTCAACCCTATGCTCCTAAATCTAGAAAATTGATTTCTCAAAAAATATATGCGCCCGAAGACCTACTTTGCTTGGTGCATGGGGAGCAACTTTCCCCCTAGAAAGTGGACCATGGAACTGTCTGTCTTTTAGTTTAGTCTAAGCACCATAAAAGGACAGATTCAGCCTTGGCTGTTCTGTTTCAGAGACCTCTGGCTTCTTACTAATTAAAGTAATTGTAAAGTTTACTATTTTTTTTTTTTTTTAACCGTCTCCCGCCCACCATCTAAGGAAATTACGGGTGCAAGGTGGTTCTTTTGTTCTAGGAGGACATCATATAACGTCCTCCCACTCTAACCGCACGTGCACACCCCCGGCGGGTCGCAGCGCTGCGATTGGTGGTGCGCTGTGTCCCTGGGACACAGCGGATCACTGATCAGTGGAAAGAGCCGATGACTTCGGCTATGTCATGTGATCAGCTGTGTCCAATCACAGCTGATCGCATGTAAATAAAGAAATGCTGGTTATCAGCATTTCTCTCCTCACGAGTTGTCACGCTGATCAGTGCCACCTATCAGTGCCATATATGAGTACTGCCTTTCAGTGCCCATCAGCGATGTCTGTGAATGCCCACCAGTGACACCTGTCAAAGCCCATCAGTGCAGCCTATCAGTGCCCATCACTGCAGCCTCATTAGCGCACATCAGTGAAGGAGAAAAATTACTCATTTGCAAACTTTTATAACAGAAACTAAGAAAAAAACTTTTTTTTTTTCAAAATTTGCAGTTTTTGGTTTGTTTATCAAAAAAAATAACTTAGTGGTGATTAAATACCACCAAAAGAAAGCTCTTTCTGTCTCAAAAAAACAATTAAAATGTAATATGGGTACAGTGTTGCATGACCGCGCAATTGTCATTCAAAGTGCAACAGCGCTGAAAGCTGAAAATTGGCCTGGGCAGGAAGGGGGTGAAAGTCACCAGTAGGCAAGTGGTTAAATAACAGACATACTAACAGTTATACTTACCTGCTTTGTGCAATAGAATTGCACAGCGCAGCCCCGATCTTCCTCTTCTGGGTTTCCCCACTGGCGCTCTTGGCTGTTCCTCTTCTCGGTGTTCCACCATAGGAAGATGCTCCTATGTTTGCACACTTGTGGGTTTAATCCTGGGTAGTGCTGCCTGCAGCCATAGACACAGACAGCGAGGCTCAACCCCCACTCCCTTGTCACTGGATTTAACTGACAGCGGCTCCCGCTGCTCTCCTCAAAGCCTGTGAAAGCGGGGAGAAAAAAGCCGCTGCAGACGGGGACTGCTCTGGATTGAAATTGGACTCGGGTAAGTATAAGGGATGGGAGTGAGACGACGGTATACACACTGAAATATTTTTTACCTTAATGCAGGGAATGCATTAAGGTAAAAAATGTTTAGGCTTTACAACCACTTTAAGTTTTGAGTACAGAAATATGGGATTTACTGTTGGTGATGACATATTTTTGTTTATTCTGGTAGATCAAAAGGGGTTAAAGTAGAATTCCTACCTAGCACTAACTAGGTTTAAAAATGTTCCCTCCCTCTCCTGCTACCTATGCTTCGAAATCTGTATGATAAAAAATGGGTATACTTACGTATTTTTAAGTTTGCTCCAGTCTGGTCACCTGATCCTTAGCTCCTGCTCCTCTGTGTCCGTCAGAGGCTGCTGCAGGGGAGAGGAGGGAGTACCAACAACGGCTGAGAAATGGGGGCCGATAAGTGATGTCAGAATTCCCAGCCATTGTTGGTGCTCTTTTCTCTCCCCTGCAGCTGCCACTCACTAACACATGGGGTTCACATGTCCGGCTATAACATACATTGTTATCCAGAAGAATCACTTCATTTTTCTCATAAGTATCATTAATACTCCCAGTTTACCCACATTTGAGGTTTTGCTTTATCTTCACAGTTTTGGTTACAAAAACTTCTGTTTTTACTTTAGGATACCAGAATGAGAAACCAACTTTAATATCGAAAATTGAGCAAGGTCAAGATCTGTACATTACAGAACTGAAAAAAACATTCACAAGGTGAGTTTACAGTACATATATTGGGTCTCTTGCACAAAATACACGTATGTGTACCACTAGACACGCATAATTGCCAGCATTTGCGTCTGTATGGGCATATTTTTCTAAATGCTAAATTTTACATTTGGAAAAATACACTTGTGCATGTGTAAATGCGATTGCTAGCAAATTACAGATGAATAGATGGTGCAATATATTCTGTAATACATGTCTATGGCCAAAATTGTGCTGCAGCTTTGGCTCCCAGGCGCCACAACACTCTGTTTTTACCTGTGCAAGAGCCCTTAGAGTTGTATGCGTTTTATTTACATTCAGAGAAAACATGTCACCATGTATCAACTCTAATGTTGCAAAGGAAGAAACATTTTTTTTTTTTTCCCCATATGGTTTTCTATCTGAAGGTCCATTTAAAATCTATCCAAGGATATTTGGCTTAAATTCCAAGAGCTGCATACAGGATTGGGAGTGGCTTTTAAGAACTCCTGGCATAGTTTTCCTATTTATCCAGTCCCCATTAATCTAGTCATCAGTTGATTAAAACCGTTTAAACCCATCTCCAGCTTTGCATATCAAAAATACAAACCGTCTTATTTTACTCTTCTGCATAAAGGAGAAAAAAAATTAAAGATACCACTTGCGCTCTTCAAACCTGAGTGCTGGTTTCTCCATCTTCCTTGCTCAGCTAGAACTTGATTTTACAAATACAGTTAGTATACGTATCCGATTTATGTATTTACATCAGCTTAGTTTAATTCCCGAAGTACAACATGGACAATTAGGATCTGGAGCTAAGATGAATTGTATTGATTTGTGCAGTGCTGTTTGTATAACACTGGGAAGATCTGATCAACATTCTGCTCTTTACTGTCCATGCAGAAGGCTGGGGAAGGAGAGATGATTTAGAAAAAAAAAAAACTCATCTGTTTTTTCCTACAGTCAGAAGATTGAGTATCCTTGCCCCTTTGTTTAGGGGAGAGAGGTGTACATGAGCTGTGCTCGTGGAGGGTACATGCTATTTTATAACAGTAAATTAAGGCCTATAGGTCATATAATTGTTACTGTACTGTCTCCCTCCATAATGTAAAGCGCTGAGCAAACTGTCGGCGCTATATAAGTCCTGTATAATAGTAATAATAATAAAAGATCATATGTTTACAGGTATTGCCTGGAAATTCTCATTAAAAATAAAACTTAGTTAATGTTCTTATTTGCCTTGACTTAGCAGAATCCTGATAACCATTGTGGCAGCAAGGAAGCTGGTGTCATTTCTTTATTAAAAACAAATTCTCCTGCGCTCTAGGACCCAGACGGGTGGCGAATGGATGGAATCAGACCTGGAAAAATCGACCACCAAAGCATGTAGGGTTGTGCGGCTCCAAACAAGGCTGGGGAAGCCCGACCAATACTGCAGAACGAAATGAAAACGAGAAGCGCAGAGGGGAGGGCTTAATTTCAGTCCTTGGGTACATATAGGAGGAGTGAGCATTCTCAGTTCAGTTAGCTCTGATGAAGAAGGGACACCCTTCGAAACGTGTCAGCTGTACTGAATATCCATCCCCTTGATGGGATTCGCGCTGTCTTCAAGTCCCTTTGAGGACTTACATGCCTGATTTTATTCGCTGTTTGTGAGTATATTTTTATAATTAATACATTTTGGTTACTGAGGTAATGCGCAAGGTTGGTGCGCTTCTCGTTTTCATTTCGTTCGTGTAGTAATTTTTTTATTATCATGTAGGTACTTAAAGCTCAGACATAATGGTTTCCTAGTTCACCTTGAGGCTCCATGCACACGGGGCGTTTTGATAATGCTGGTAACGTTAGCTGTGTAAAGTCACGTTTAAAAACGTGCGTTTTTGCATTAGCGTTTAGCTGCGTTTTTCCGTGTTTGCATTTTTAGTGCCCCCCCCCTCAAAAAAAATCTAAAAAACATCCAAAAACGCTGGTTTGTGTTGTTTTACTGCGTTTTTACAGCTAATAAACTCCTCTAGAAACCCACTAGTCCTGAGTTTTTTTCCAGCCAAAAAGCGTCCCAGCCAAAAAACGCTGATTACAGTCTGTGTGCATGGACACATAGGATAACATGCTGGGGGGGGGGGGGGGGGGGGGGGGGGGTTACTGGCTGTAGAAAAAAACATCAAAAGCCAAAAACAGTAGCTGTAAAAACGTCAAGTGTGCATGAGGACTGATAGACTTTATTGCCTATGGCAGCAAGATATCATGTGTGTGGTACTAAAGAGATGGTGTTGGCTACTCAGCAACTTCCATGGTTACAAGGATACTTCTGCATCTAATGTCTACCTTTTTAAATTAAAATAATGTAAAAAGAAGCAGTAAGAGGCATGTTAGAAAAAAAAAAAAACACAAAATGTTTGATAGCTTTTTTGCATATCCAATACTCTGAGGCTAAACTTACCTGTAAAAAAACAGGGCAATTTCTGCACGTTGTCTATTTTGCTATTGTCAATTGGTGGCATAGGACGGGTTATACTGTCGCCTACAGGAAAAGTTGTAAGCCGGGCCCTGTATAACCCATCCTATACCCAGCATGCCTCAGTTTTTTGCTAGAGGAGATTGGATGCCTTTTCTTCTTTTGCTCTGTGGAAAAAAGTCCATTATTTGGTTAGCTATCTTCAGTTTGTGATTGGTTGCTTTTCGTCTTTGACTTTAACCGCTTCCTGACTGCCCTATAGCAGAAGTACTGCTACAGGGTGGTAAGGATGTGCATAATCGCGTATTTACACGTGGTTAAGTATTTCAGGGTAGGGGGTGCGCGCGCTCCCTACCCGCGCCGCTATTGGCTCCTCGGCATGTCAATAACTGGGTCCAGGCCGCCAATTCTCAGCCAGGACTCGGTGATTGTCGGCGGAGGGGAGAGGTCTGTATGTAAGCAATACCGATCTCTCCCCTGTCAGCACGAACAAGCTGCTTTGTATTGCTCTGCACAGCAGAGCAATACAAAGCAGCTTGTTTCACTAATAAAACACACACAGCACACAGTTAACCATTTGATCACCCCAGTTGTTAACTTCTTCCTGCCTAGTGTCATAAGTACAGTGTCAGTGCTTTTTATTAGCTCTGATCTTTGTATTAGTGTCACCAGATGTCAGTGGCAGTCAGTTCTCCCTCAGTGTCAGAATGCCCACTGCAGTCCTGCAATAAGTTGCTGATTGCCACCATTACTAGTAAAATAAAAATAAAAATTCTGGTATGTATACTGCCGTTTGTAGACGCTATAACTCTCACGTAAACCAATAAAATTTACACAAATTGGGATTTTTTTTTTTTAGCAAAGACATGTAACAGAATACATTTTGTCCTAAATTTTATGAAGAAATTTATTATAAATATTTGTGGGGAAAAAAGGGCATAAATTTCATTGCGTTGCATGACCGCCCAATAGTCAGCTATAGTAACGCAACACTGTATCACAACAAAAGACCTGGTCAGGAAGCAGTGTAAATCCTCTGGAGGGCAAGTGGATAATTAGGAATCCCTGCTGCACTGCTGCTTGAGCTGGGCTCTATATGGCTGCTATCTGGATCTATTTCCTCAGTAATAACTTTGTAGACTGTACCTAGACCCTGCTGCACTGAATGTGTGGGACTAGCCTGGAATGTGACCTTCAGGCACTGGCTCTGCATTGTGGCGTTTTCAAGACCTTAGTGTACTGTGTAAGATGCACTTTCTGGGTTCAGGGCCATGGCACAGCCTTAGGTGTGATCCTGTCTCTTAAGATTTACCTTTTGAGTTAGACTGGTTGGATGAAGCACTGGAATCTACCTCACTATTTACATTGTTTTGACTTCTCTGCCACCGCCAGTACTACAGCAGTAAGGGTTAAGGCTGAGAGATTGAGTGCTGACATCATCCGTTCAGTAGAGTCCTGCACACTGCTCTGTGTTCTGTGCTCTTCCATCATTTAGCCTAGAGGAAGCATCTTCCTGCTACTGCTCCTGCATCACAATGTTGAACCCTTTGTGCATACATACAATGACAAGGTCATCTCCAGCTGCCTGAAATCCCTACCAGCACAAGCTGCCCCGGTTTGTGATTACCTGAGGTGTTGCCTCAAATTGGGCCTAGTTGTGTTACCACTGTGCAGATACAAGCTGTCTTTGCTAAAACACACAGAGGACAGTCCCACTGCTGTGGGTGATCTCAGCCCATATTACGCTAGTGGCATTTATCTAGTATCCCCAGAAGGAGTCAATGCCCATAATCCTGAACCTAGGACTACTATTAACAAAGGATCATCCTTATATGAGTCTACTTCAGCCTGCTCCATGTCTACAGTGATTTTCATGGCCACTTTGGAATTTCTGGCTGCCTTTGCTTAGATACTGGGGAACATAAGCAATCTGCACACGGAGGCTCTAGGTCCATCCCCTGCAGAGACTGTCTCTGACCCTCCTGAGCCGCTAAATCAGGCTGAGCCTTTGGCCCCTTTTTAATCTGACTCGGATTCAGTCTACCTACAGTCTACCCCTGAAGAGGCTGTTTTTGACTCAGAAATACAAAGGGTTGTTTCAAACCTTATCGATGCAATACATAAACCCTGCATCTGGAGGATTAGCCTGTGTTTCCAGGCCTCAAGTTTCAAAGACCTGTCCACTACACTTGCTAGTCAATCCTTCATGAGGAATAGAAACACTCTGAAGAATCCACCTAAAATGTCTTGGATCTTTTCTTTGAGAGGGAGTTTATAAATAGGTGGTCTCTTTCCACTGATGCACCATTGATCCACTTTAACAGGCATACTACCAAACAGGTTTAAGATTTTCTGACTTTTCTGGATTTTACTGAGAGTTAAGCTGCCTCTCCCTCACTGCTGGATTAATTCCCATTTCATAGGACATGTGGAACAAAAGCTCTTGCAAGAACACACTGTTCCCTCTCTGTCATGTATCCTGATTTGTTCTCCAATGGACATCACTCAAGTAACACAAACTTAAAAGATAATTGTGTCGTTCCCCCCCCCCCCCCCCCCAATTATACACACCTGACCTGGGTGGATGTAGTATCTGTCCAATGCTGCGTCTGTCCCCTGCAGCTCTAAGTGAGAGAACAGCCAGTCTGAGTAGAGGTTCTAGACTGTCAGTCACCACTGTCAGCTCTGCCCCCCATGCTCACGGGAGTGCTGGGTTGTGGAGGGGGAAGGTGCCGCTGGCTCAGGCTCTCAGCGGCTTGCTGAGCCAGGTGTCGCTTCAGATTCTAGGGTGGATCCCAGCTTTAAAGTCAGGATCTTTCCCCAGCATGGACCAGCTGAGGTATGTCAGCCAACAGTGGGATTCAGCCTGCTTTCAGCTGAAAACGGCTCACAGGAGTGCAGAATGAATTTGCACTCCTGTGATCCACAGGAAAGTACAGCCAAAAGAGCTGAAGTTGGGGGTGAAATAGGTCCTGCTATGGTGGCTGATGCGCAGCCTCTTGATGAAGTTTCTTTGGAATCCTTCCTCCATCCTGTCTATGATCAGATGATTGTACCTAGCAGTATGGCTGGATTGCTTTTTGGCTAATAGTGCTCCCTTGGTCCCAGGCAGGTTAGATGATTCTTGGTTTGCAGAGTCTTTCAGACGCCAAAAACAACTCCAGTTGGATGGATAGATTCTGCTCATCCTTCTACAGTTCTGGTGTTTTTGAGCACCAGCATGGGTTGTAGTATGCCGTCATCCTTGCCTACCCTTGTAAGGGTGCCTTTCACTCACTTTATGCCCTCACTCTATGCCCTCTTTCAGTCTGTCTGACTTGAGGTTTGGTGCCCTCAGTCTCAGGGATCTTTTATTTATCCGTTGGGATATTAGGCTTTTACTGGGATCACATACCATTGTCTTACTGGGAGATTGGTTACCCGACCAGGCAGTCCTTGTTCATCGTGGAAACTCCTTTCCGTGAATCATGAGTGTTTGTCCAAAGTTCCTTCTAGGGACCTGTTTCTCCTAGGGTTTGTCCCAGGGGTTTTAATTTTTTGACCACCTCTTTTGATTGGATCGTTGATTGGTTCTCATGGTCTCTCACTGGTTCAGGCTCCCCTTCCATCAGCTAAAGTCCACTCCCTTGGAGGTGATTTCTCTGTCTTGGTCTAGAGCACCAGGATGATCCTCTGTACTCCAACCTTTGTTTGTGGCAGTTCCATGTCTTGCAGAGGGCTTTGATCTTGATTCAGGCATTGGTCCTTCACATACATTTATGTCTGCATTGCAGACGGTTTTCCAAACTCTTCTTAAATCAGTTGGTGGCTGATTACCACCCCACACTTTGACTTCTTTTGGACATCTAGAGCAGTCTGTATACTATGCATATGCCTCTCAGCTGTCCTTGAAACTCTGCAAAAAAAAAGACTATAAAATCCATGCTTGCCCTTTATTAGGGTGTAGCCTTTTACCCATTTTTTTTCTGGTGCTTATATGTAGACTAATATTTTGTTTAAGTTGGACAGGTACTCACTTTTTGTATGTCTTTTTCAGGTGCCCATAATTTCAGCACAGAAGAGCTCTATACATCTCTGTTAACACCTGAAGAATTGGCCATGGCACAACTGCATTTAAAAGGTGACCTAGAAAATGGTACAAAACCTTCCTCTAATGAAAATGTGAGTCTACGAGCCAGACGCCAGTACAACTTCAGAGACCGAGTTGCCGTGGAGTACACTATGTTTTATGATGATGTAGAGGAAGTGAGAGAACTTAAACCTCAAAAACGCTTGCAGAGGAAGTCGAGATTTGGCAAAATTGTCTATGCCCCAAAATTCAACACAGAAGAGCTACATATCTCTTTGTCAACCCCTAAGGAATCAACACTGGAAGAAGGTCACTTTAAAGGTCTCCCAGAACACATTACAAAAACCTCCCCTAAAGACAATAGGAGCCTTGCCCCCCAACGTCAGTACAACTTCCGAGACAGAGCTGCAGTGGAGTACACCATGTTTTGTGATGATGAAGAGAAAGTTAAAGAACTTAAACCACGCACAAACTTGCAGAAGAAGCCAAGCTATTGTAATATCATAGATGCCCCAAAATCTAACCTAGAAGAGCTACTTACATCTTTAAAACCTAGAGCATTTATAGGGCAAGAAATACACTTAACAGGTGACCTAGAAAACAGTACAGAAACATCGTCCAGTGGAAATGGGAGTCTGCCCCTGAATCGCCGGTATAACTTCAGAGACAGACTTGCTGTGGAGCACACCATGTCTTATGATGATAAAGATGAAGTGAGAAAACTTAAACCTCACAAGAGCTTACAAAAGAAATCAAGCTATGGCAAAGTACGCTGTAGCAAAATCCAACCGTGCACCTTGTCTTATGAAGATGAAGTGAGAGAACTTAAACCTCAAAAGAGCTTGCGGAGGAAGTCTAGTCGTGACAAAATTGTAGATGCCCCCAGATTCAAGAAGGAAAAGCTACATACATCTTTTTTAACACCTGAAATATTGACAGGGAAACAAGTACACTTCACAGGGGACCTAGAAAACAGTACAAAAACATCCTCTGATAAAAATGGCTGTCTGTCCCCCAACCGTCAGTACAACTTCAGAGATAGAGGTGCGGTGGCGTACAGCATGTTTTATGATGATGAAGCTGAAGTGAGAGAACTTAAACCTCACAAAAGCTTGCAAAAGAGTTCAAGCTATGAAAAAATCCAGCCAAAGTGTGGCCGTTACAGTTGTACTGAATGTGGTAAAAGCTATAGTCAAAAACAAACGCTAGTGAAACATCAGATGGTCCATACTGGCATTTCTATCTATGTTTGTTCAAAGTGTGATAAGTGTTTCACTCAACGCTGCAGCCTAAAGAGACATGAGAGAGCTCATGCGGTTGAGAGACCCTGTATCTGTTCTTACTGTGGTAAGGGCTTTACTGAATCTGGATCATTACTCAAACATCAGAGAATTCACACTGGACTTAAGCCGTTTTCTTGCTCGGAATGTGGCAAGACCTTTAGCATAAGTACCTACCTTATTGTCCACCTGAGAACTCACACCGGAGAGAAGCCCTATGTATGTGGAGACTGTGGGAAAAGTTTTACTCAAAGTTCCAGTCTTATCACACACCAGAGAACTCATACAGGCATAAAACCGTATGCTTGCATAGAATGCGGGAAGGGCTTTTCTACTAGTTCCCACCTTATCACTCATCAAAGAACTCACACAGGAGAACGTCCTTACCCATGTGGGGAGTGTGGGATGGCCTTCAAGCATAGTACCCATCTTGTTTTACATAAACGCAAGCACACTGGTGAGCGGCCGTACAAATGTACTAAGTGCCCGCGGGCTTTTGCCCAGAGACCTCAGCTTCTAAAACACCAACAAAAACGTCATGCATATGAATAGTTTTGGAATTAAACTGTTTTCTTGTCTAATTTTCAGTTACCTCGTAATAATTATTTATCATTGTAATATACAGCAGCAAAATAAATAGGAAAAAAACAAAAGTGGACTGCATTCCCCTTAGGTCCCATAATAAAGCCTTCATTAGGACTGCAGTACAAAAGGAGGTTCAGTGCAGTCTGTATTAAAATTAAAGGTTAAGTGCAGCCAAAATTGCGGAAAGAAAAATAAACATGCAGGATATAACTGAGAGGAATAAGCACAAAAGACATGTCCTACTTTGTCTTGTATCTCCCTCCCCCACCACCACCACCAAAATCTACTGGTGCAGCGGGTGTTAATACAAGAGAGAACATGACTATGCCTGCCCTTTCTGCCCAGCATCTCCATTCATAGAAGCCACGCTACAGCTTCTTTGATTGAAACAAGATCTATGAATGGAAAGGGCAGGTATATCAATCATCCACCTGTTCTCCATTTTTAGATTGTGTTCCATTCATAGAAGCTGTAGTACGGCTGTAAGTTATGTCCCTTTTCTGATTTGCTGATTTTTCTGTTTGTGAATTTGGGTGCACTTAGGCTTTAATGTCATGCTTTTGAAGATTTGAGAATACATACTGTATTTCTTTAATTACTATCCTTTAAAAGGTTACCGCTGGCTTCTCTTAATCGTTCATTAACCCCCTGGCGGTATTCCCGAGTATAGCTCGGGGTAAAGTTTCAGTACCAAAAGCGGTAACCCCGAGCTACACTCGGGAATACCATGTAGTGTTGATCAGGGATTCCCTGCAGCGCTTACCTTGTCCTTCGCTTACGCGATGTCCCCCCTGCAGCGTCCCTGTCCATCTCCTCCGGCCGATGCTGGCATCCGTCTTCCGTGTTCCGGTCCCTGCCAGTGTCAGGACGTACGGGGGCCGGAACCTGCGGGAAATTTGAAAAATTTAAAAACTGACATTTTCTAATAAACTAAATTCACATAGTAAAACATTACTGTTTCAAAGCATTTCACATACATTTTGTCCTGTGCCCTGCCTGCATTTTATTGTTCTCTCTGCCTGGAAACTGAGAAAAGTCCATGGTGTCCAAAAAGCGTCCCTTTAGGTCAAAAGCGGTTTTAGATCAGCTAGAGAACAGCGATAGTAAATCAGAACCACTTGCAGAATTGAGTGATAATGATTCATGGGGAAATTCGTCATCAGACACTGAAAACGATTTTGCGACTGAGCTCAGCGATGTGCGAACTTGGCGCTCTATTTCAAATTTCAGTGTTTTTGGTTTGATTATATTATTGAATTAAATGTATTATTATTATATTTTTATGATTATTTATTAAATTATAATTTATGATTTTGTGTTTCAAGTTTTATCCTACCCGGGATGTTTACTAGACTCTTGTTCGGACAGATTTCAGTGAGTTATTCCTAAAAATTACAGGCCTACAATAAAAACATATTTCCATGCAAGAAAATGTACCACTTTCAGCACAGAAAAATGGACATAATCAGACCGCTAGGGAGGTTAAGGGACACAGGATATTCAGAGACAGCAGGGTAATATTGCTGCTTACTGAATTGGCATACAAAAAGTGTAAGTCAGGCAAGATAATTCCTCCCAGGATGCCTCTATTTTTTGTTAGTGTCCTACAGGAATGAACATCTTTTTCCCTCTGGGGAAAACTTGACAGGTTACTTTTAATTTTTTGATTTAAGATCTATTTTCTGCTAGTAAGTTTTACTATAGTACAGAGCCAGGAATATGCCTATATGTAGGTATCTGGATTGGCCAACCGTCGATGCTGTCCTGGAAGCTGTACTCAGACCTCACTGTAGGAGCTGTGGGGAAGGCCCTGTAATACAACCCTTTTTTGCACAGGGTTCTGCAGAAGGAGCTGCCAGATTGCCTACGTTAATTACCGAAAGAATGCTTTAAAGGGCCATGCTGCTCCCTTCTGGTCACTTTAGGAGGTATGCTCACTGGAGGGTGAAGACGGTTCGAAGGTGCTGCCTTGCTTGCACCCTACCTTGGTCATGGAGTGCCTTGCAGACCACCTCTGGTTTAAGTCTATTGGGGCTTTCTCCATCACCTCCATAGGAGCTCTAGTGGCCTTATCTTAATCGTACAGTTAAGAATACAGGTTGTGTATTCATAGACCCTAATTTTTAGGCTCAGATTTTGGTAGTATAAGTTGATGGTCCTTCTCCCCTGCAGAGAAATCACTTTGAGTGTAACTACTTTGTTATTTGATCTTCAGATTCTTCAATCAACTTTTAGTTGGCACTGATTCAGTGTGCAGAGCAGTAGGGGGTGCTGTGACACTATGGTATAGTTTCTTTATGCTATGTCTGAGGCTGAGTTCTCTGTACATGTGCCCCTGTCTGCAGATGCATCATGCCTTTTTTTCCTTCAGGCACATTTCCTCTATGCCACTCTGACTGCTAATCAAGCTCACCACTGCAATTCTACTGACTGGTTCCCTGCTGCCTTCCTTTTGGGGTTGTGAATATATTGTAGATTTACCACACTCCCTACTGGGATATGTTGGATTACAAGTACAGAACATGTGATCCCCACAACCATACCAGCTTTCAGTCCATCAACAGCTCATTGTGCCTTGCCCTAGACACCTTTTTCTCTACTCTTCTTTAAGGGGTTATTTTCTGCTTTTGTGTCAGACTTTATGGCTAAAATGTCTTCCACAATAGCCATTTTTCAGAATGCAAGTGTACTTCCTTACCCTCTTCTCCCAGAGTCTGTCTCTGAAACAGTCCTGTTTGCACATTCTGCTAAAGATGATTATCGCAATTTCTACTGACATCACTCCTACGGTCAATTAGACTGTTTTGGTTCTCACTGAGACGGTGTGTATTTATTTAGAACTAGAAAAGCCTATGTTTAAATGTGCAAAGGTCATCTGTTTGGGTTCCCTTAACCCCTTTGCACCGGCGCCTCCCGGCCCTTTAAGGGTTTCAGAAGCCGGAAGGCGGGGCAAGGTTTAGGGTTATGTGACCGCCGTGACATGCTGTCACGGCGGTCACATGATCGGGAAAGGTCCCGATCAAAAGAGGAGATCGGGAACCTTTCCATGAGTACTGGACATGTGTGCTGGGAGCGCTCAGGGCGCGTGCTCTCAGCACATATGTTCTTTTATAATAGAACGCAAATGTGCAGCCGCTCGGCGTCAACGCCCAGACGCCGGGAGGCCGCACATTTGCGTTCGGCTGGGGTGAAGAGGTTAAGAGTCTTCAGTATGCCATAACCTTCCCAGTGCTTCCTTTTTTGCAGCTGGTTTTGTATTGAGGCTGGCCAAATTTTAATAATTTGTTTCCTCCTCCTAAATGTTTTACACAATAATACCCTTTAGAGGAGGTATTTACTGAGAAATCGACTGTTCCCTTTGTTGACACAAATTTCTTGCCATTTTTTTTGTCTCAAAACCATAACTGTTCCTGGACATTTCTGTATTGAAGGATCTGATAGACAAACAACTGGAAGCCCTTTTTAGGCGTCTCTATGCCTTCCCTCCAGCAATTGCTGTTATGCCCTTGATCCCGAGTCTTCTCTTTTCAGAGTCCTCCATCTTGCAGCAATTAAAACTCTTATCCACTACCCTTTTTTTGTGTGACAATTTTGGGGTGGACATTGCCGTTTCTAGAATGAGACTCCAGACCATTCACATGAGTCCCTAGCTAAAATTGCTGGTCTATAAAATAGCAATGTAAGAAACCCCTGCTATGCATGCCCCTTGTGAGGGCCTCACAACTTGATTAAGGTGGTCACTGGAAGGAGGAGTCCCTTTCTGCCTCAGAAGGATACCAAAACCCCAAGCCAGGAAGAGTTCAGTTCTTGTTCCTCCTGGTTTTCAAGACCAGGCCCAGTACCCTTTTCCAACATAAGCCTTGGTTCTCCAAGTCTTCCAAATCCACCAGCAAGTCCTCCTCATAATGAGAGGACACCCCCACTTTTGTAAGTGGGTAAACATCTGCTGTTTTTTTTTTTTTTTTTTTTTTGTGTGTAAGGACTCATCACTTCTCAGAAGCTTTGGTAAGGGACGTGGTGTCCAAGGGCTAAAAGTTAGAATTTCAAATGTGCTTTAAAAGACGGCCATGTCATCGAAACGCATCACGTGATAAGGCAATTTGCATGGTTTTTGGTCCTTGGCCATACAGAGAGTATCCCAATCGTTCCTGCTCCCCCAACCTGCCCTGAACTTGTTGCTTGCATCTGCTAATTGTCGGGACAGCTGGAGGCAGAGCCGGTGAACTGTCTCTTTCCCTGGGCTCCTATAACTCACAGAGAGCAGCCAAATATATTGCCTGCAGGTTGGTTTCACACTCCAGGCTCCTGTCCGTGTCACAAAATCTCCAGCTGCACATCAGACTTTCTGCTGGTGCTCGGGCAAGAGCCACTCTAGCAACATAAGAATTAACAGTGTCAATGTTGATTGAGAAATTGAAGTTCTGCTTTAAGGACAAGATTCCCCATTTTCCTGTTAGAACACTTTTACATCAGTAAATGCTTCTTGGGCTTTTCAGCATCAGGCATCTGTTTCCCAGATTTGCGAGGCTGCCGCCTGGTTCTCAGTTCTCACATTCTCTACCAGGTGGATAGTCAGGCCTCAGCTTACAATATTTTCAGACATAATACCTTCAGGTAACTCTTTGATGCACGTAGTTGTCCAGTTCTCTTTTCACAGTTTTTTTGATGTGTTGCCCATTCCTAATTTGGACTTCTTTGGACATCGCAGTTGTCTCTGAATATCCTGTGTCCTTTAATGAATGATTAAGGAAATGGGATTTCTGACTTACAGTAAAATCATAGAGTTCCTTAAGGTGCACAGGTCCCTCCTCTATGTATTATGGTCCACTCTTCTATTGTTGTCACAAAATTTGAGCATGCTGTCCAGTTGTAAGCACAAATGCAGCATTGGCTATCTCTGAAAATTCGGTATCCCATAACGCCAAGAAAAGGATTTTACAGGTAGGTAATTTTTTTTTTTTTATTGT